CTGCTACAGTGGAGAGTCGTTCATGCATGTGATGAAAGTGTTGATGCCGACCTGTCTAAAAGGGAGGTCGTCCATCAGCTCTTTGCGGCATTTCCTGCAGCGCTACACCAGGGCGCTGTCTTTTGAAGTTTCAAGTAAAACTTGGAAACTGAAATGACTGGCTATATGGTGCCTTCGATGAAAATGTCATGCCTGCAGGTCTCTGCCTGAGAGCTTCTTTTCTATATTCTCTGAGAGTTTCTTTTCTATATTCTCTGATCATTTCTTTTCCTTATCAACTTTCCGGCTCGGAAGGCTCCAACAACGCTGGCGGTTTATGTTGGTCGCGCAGCCATGGAGACCAGCGCGGAGAGGCTCAAAGCCTTGCCACACCTCACAGTTGCTCTTTTGCAAGAAGCCTTGCATCGCGGCTTTGCGCAAATAGGGCATCGAAACTTGCCAGTACTGTCGCAGAAGATGGAGGCAATGACATGGAAGACAGCGCCCAGTAAGCACATAGAAGCTTTCAGCCTTGTCGAGGGTGTGCTTTTTTGCTTTGCTCAGCATCTGCTCCAACGGGCTGATACCCGATGCAATGCTAGTTGCAGCGTCTGGGCTTTATAATTCGATCTTTTTCATTTTCGGCCTTTCAATTTTTTGTTCCTGCTTCGAGTTTCATCTTTCCTGTTTCCTTTTCTGAGGCTATGAAGGCTGAGCATTCCTTGGACCCTTTCACTTTTGCTGCTGGTACTGACTTTGAGATGGCTTCGGCTTTCTTTTTGCAGAAAACCCGGCAGTTGGCTGCCAAAATCAGCTTTCTGCAGACTGCTTATAGGCACCTTTTGCAAGTATGTGGAACGGAGGTACTCCGCTGCTTTGGCGCTCTTTTTTTGAAGCCATGGCAAAGCTAGCTGCCAGACTGCATCAAACAACTGGATGGTTGGAACTTGACGGCTAATTTGAATGATTTGTTCCAGGCGGCCAAAAGCATCGGTCTCAGATAGCACCATGTCAGTTTCTGCAGGCACAGACACCTCTGCCCCTGTAGCTTCTTCCACCGTCGCCTTCTTGGTCTCCCCTTTCTTGGCCTTCGGCTTCTGCGTCCTGCGCGGTACAAACGACACGCCATACAAGCAACCTATCGCACTGAATTGCCAACATGTTGCTGCAACAAAGACTGGGGCCCTGACACACGTGCCTTGCTTGGCAAATGCTGCTGCAAGACTTTATAGGATGCCCGACGCATGTGAGCATAGTCATCACATGGCCGTGCGTGAGGAAACACAGCACGGCGGGAAGCTTCGATGCCCTTCGCATAATCTTTGTGGACCTGCCAAACCTGGGCCCTCAGATCGAGGCCACACTCTTTCTCGGCCACGTTGCATGCCTCAGTGAAAATTTGGGTCATGTTGCGCTCGGATTCTGAACTCACCAAGGCTTGCAAGAACGGTTCTTGCGTGGCGGTGTGCACTGCAACGGACTTGGTGTGGCTTGCCCCTGCCCAGGTTTTGGTTGGCGAGGCACTGCTTACCAAGAATGCCAGAGTCACAATGCCATATTCGTTGACAACGACGCGCTGCTTCGCATCGACAACCAGCTTCAAGACCTTCTCTTTCAAGGCCTGCGCGCGGCGTAGCATGCCTGGGCACGTCCACATCACGCACACCCTCTCTTCATCAAAGGTTGACGACGGCAAGACGATAAGCCGCCACACTTTCCAGCTTTGCCAAGCATCCATGTGTGGGCTCATGAACGGCCCTGCTGCATTCTCCAACTGTCCCACTGTCAGCTTGCCTTTGTTGCATTGCGGCCGGCCCGCACCATTGAATCTGATGACGAAGCTGTGCAATTGCGCAGTGCTGCAGCGCAAGTTCAACCCATGGGCTTGCAGTGCAGCGCGGACATCTTTGGAGGTCACCCGGGGCCGCTTTGTTTCCAAAGCTTCTAAAGCTAGAGCCTCGGCACATGTCCACAAGCTACCGCCTTGCGGCGCTTGTAGCTCTCCATGGATGCCTTTGTGCTGCACGCATAGCATGGGCCCTTTGTCGCTGAAAGTCAGCGTCCCTTTCACCTTTTTTTGTGCAGCCTCTGCATACGCTCGGCCGGCAGATACCGAGCAAGGTTTTGCCAGCTTTCAACTGCTTCTCATGGAAATTGTACACACCACAATCTTTTGCTTGCCCGAGCACACGTTCGATGGTTTTCCGCAAGCTTGCGCAAGTGCCAACATCGCCTGGGGCGCTCCCGTGGAACAAGGTCGCCCACTCTGGCGTTGCGACCTGGACAGGCTCTGGATCCACCAATTCCTGCTCAGGCTTATTCTCCTCGCTGTCTGACCCGTGGGCTTCTGGCCTGACGGTGGCGACAGCGACCCCTATATCCCAACGCAAAGAAAAGCCCGCCCCCGCCTTCGCACGGTTGGCGCTCGTGTCATCGGACTCTTCGCGCCATGTGACTGCCTGCCAGACGTGAGACCTGCTGCTTGCTAGACTGCAGCGCCCGCTTTTGGGGGGGGCCCGTAAGCCAACATTATATACTTCCTAGTCTCTGTATTCGAAACTTCGGGTCCTCTCTATATAGGTCACTATAATTGGCACAAGGTTGTACGTACGGCCTACACCTCTGGCGTTCTGTAGTGTTACCCCAGCCCGCACGCCTTGGACGCAACTGCTTTTGCGCTGCATCTGGTTTGCACGGGCGCCCAAAAGACCAGCCAGGAACCCCCATCTCCTTCAAGGCCTCTTTCGCTTCTTTCGACAAAGCTGCCCAACAACCCTTCACGAAAGCAGCCTGCACTTCGCCGCGGTGGCGTTGTTCCCGGACTTCGCCTAGCCCGCGTTCAACCAAGAGCCCCATGACTTCCTGATACGCAGCATCCTTCCACATGGGGTCTGGCAATTCCCGAAAGTGTGCGCCACAGCGGCGCGTCCATTCAGGATACCATCCCGACCCAACCAGAGTTCTGAGTAGCTCTGCCATCGCTGCCACGGCCTGCTGCGCAATCACCCGATGTGATCTATATAGCTATAGTTAGCCTAGTGAAACCGAATTCTTTGGCGTATGGATGCTCTTATTACATGTTACTTGCGACGGGCGTATAACTTTCCTGATGCTATCTTGTTTAATTTGGACAACCCCTCACGCCTCTGCCACTGGCCGTTTCGGCGGAAGGCGAGCCAGTCGCGCTTGCCGGCGCATATCCACTTCCAAGACAGCAAGCCCGTACAAGAACCGCTCCTGGAAGCACAAGGTGGCCATCTTCAACGCGTCTGTACTCAGATGCCCGCTCCACACTGGTAAGCTCGCACTTCTCCTTAGTTGCTCGCAGCAGCTCCAGACCGACAAAGTCGCTGCAATGACACATCTCATCTGACTACCTCCCGTGCTTGCAAAACAAAAACGGCTGCAACCAAGGCACGAGCACGCATGCGGCCACAGGCTTTCCATCAGCGTGCCAAAGAGGGCGACGGTGCTGACCCAGTAAGGGGCCTTGTGCAAGCCAGCGGCAAGTGTCTCACCAAAGAAAGTCTTCTTTGTTACATCATTGCAAGTCAGCCTGTACGCATGGAATTGCTCTTTTAAACTAGGGCTCAGCTTCCATTCTCTTCCGGGCGCATCTATTGCCATCGGCGCCTTGCAACCCAATGATTTCAGCACTGCTGCAAAGATGCGACGCAATATGGGCATGACAACCTTTCTCTCAAAGCCTTGGAGGCGAGGCGGGCCTGGATCACGAAGAGCGCCAAAGGAGAACATGCAACGCTGGGGCAAGCCGATCTTGTTGCGTGCCTCACTCGGCACCCACCAGTTCTGCCACACTGACAGCTGTTGCAACAAGGCTATAGTCACATTGGTTTTCTGCGACGGTGTGCCCTTCGGCGGAACCACCCTCTCTTCCGCCGACTCCTTCTTTGCTTTCCGGTCCAAGGCAGTTTCCCAAGGCACCTCTCCGCCCGTGGCGCTGTCGAGGAACCTTGCGAAGTTGATGTGGGTTGTTTGGTTCCAGGTGCCATTTTGCGCAAAAGCAGGACAAAGCAGTGGGCCCCCCTTCTCCTGCTACCAGGGTGGTGTAACCATCAGTCGCCTTTAGCTTGTCTACTGCCGCACAATGGGTGCTTGGCCCGAGCAAATGGAATTTGTCCCAGCCCCATCCAGGCGCCAAGTGTGAATTCTCTTCCAAGACACTGCGGAGGCATTCAACCATCGGGTCCACTGCTGGGCTTTTTTCCGCTGCCGGGCCGCGCGATCCCCATTGCCCAGTATCGACTGCGGCAAGGGTAACCCGCGACGTCGACTGCAATGTCTTTGTGAAGTAAGCCCATCACAAGCGCACAAAAAGCATCATAGTAAAAGGCCGTGGGCATGCCCGTGCTGCGGCTCCACGCCTCGGTGAGCACCAGTACCGGGTAAAAGCATGTCCGCCAAAGCGGATATTGCAACTCCACGGCTTCCCGCCCGCCGAACTCATCGCTTTCAAACCCAGCAATGAGCCAAGGCAATTGTTCCTTCACCGCTGCTTGCTGCATTCCCATAATCTCTGCCTGCAAAGGGCGCACGGCACACAATATCGCATCGTGAGAAACAACCCCGACTCCTACTATGCGCCTGCACCAAAACTACCCGCCATGTTACATATATATATATATATATAGCTACAGAGCTATTTACTCTTGCGTGTTACTGAGGTCCCGACACTGTACGCAGGCAAGGTTGCGAGGAATGCCTCCACATCTTCACCGTTTTCGAAGCTCCTTAAGCATGCCGCCACATCGCTTTCAAACTCCACGGTGCCATCCACGGCCTCACCAAAGGGTAAAGTCTGCATCCGCCCCTGCAGCGCCAAGGGTGGCCCCTCCTCAGCCGTGGCCTTGACGTTGTTGGCAGTGGGCATGTCCGCATCCACGCTAGCAGCTGTTGCTTGCTCCCACCGTGAGGCAACGGCATCCGCGTGCACAGGTGGCCCAACACCAGTGCCCACAAACGGGGCACTCCTGTTCTCATATAGCGCCAGAACCACACCTACCTCCACAGTCTCTCCAGGAGTCTCTACCTGCTTCACCACAGCATCATCGCACCGTAGAAATGTCGCACCTTCTTTTCCTTTGAGCCACGCAACAAAATGCCCCCGGTCCGCATTGCTTGGCGTCCCGGCACCTGGCAGATGTTCCACTAAGGCTACAAAATCATACAACGACCCATTGATTTCCACAGGTCCTACGCACTCGATGGCGTGCCCATTGCGTTGCATCCGTCCCGACTCCACGTAGCTGTTGCGTGGAAAGGCAACCACCAGAACTGCAGGGGTACAGACTGGGGTTGCATGTTCCAGCACTTTCTTGTTGCCACCACATGCCTCGCAACGCAACCCCTCCGCCAACCATTCCTCTGCAAAAACGTTGCGCAGGAGTTGTTGCGCAGTAGCGCTTCCAAACGGCTCGTTCTCTGCGAGGACAGCCACCCATGCCTCAAGTTGTCCACTCCTTGCCAGAGTGTTGTAAAGCTTGCATGTAGGCACCTCACATTTGTGCTCACGTTGCCTCTGCACATCCATTCTGAAGAAGCCAGGCGCTGCCCGTTCAACCTGCAACCACGGTAGGTCAAACATGATTTGCTGTTACAGCCTTTTCCCTACTTTGACACGTATATTCTGACATGTGCTTTGCTACTAGACTCTCAGTTACGACACGTTGTTTTACCTTTTATTTCCCAACCAGAAGGACCCAGCAGGCACCTACTCCGCGTAATCCCATCCGCCCTCATCCAGCCTCCTCGCACACTGCTACAACGAACTCTGTGGCACTTTCCTGCGCACCGCCAGCCAAACCAACTTTGGCGAGAAATGGCTTCCACAGCTTGGCCATCACGCCGGCATCTGCTTGCCCAGCCTCTCGGGCTTCATTTGTGCGCCACAATAAGCACAGGATACATTCTCCATCGCAATGCTTCTCAGCAACATGCGCATGAAGTACGGCACGGACACACGCCGAGTGGAAAAGCATTTGCAGGACACTATTCACAAAGCATGTGTTTCCAATGTTTGTCAGCCCTACAGCGCAGACCTTGCCGTCTTTCGGCTGCTTTGCCCGGCTTGTAGACTGTCTCCTTTTTTTCAAAGTTGTTGGCTTCACCCGCAGTTTTGCTCTCAGGCCATCTTTGCGGTACCCCTCCGGCAAGCGGTACCGGATACGCGCCCAACCAATGGAGCCCGACAACTTGACAAACGGCACTGTTTCCGGCAACGTTTCCACATTGCTAAGCCACAAGGCATGGGTGCATGTGTATGGCAATGATTCCATCTCCACCCGATGCTCACCACGTAGCTCCATAAATTCTGCCAATCCTACTTGCTTGCATCTGGTGATTGTAGCGCTGCCATATACACGGTTTCCCATCACCAGCCAAGTATGGCCTGGTCTGGCCCGCTGCCCCCCGCAGCTCCACTGTTTTCTGGCCACTGAGGATACGCTCCAACCATTCCTGCCGCAACACCATTCCACGGTCTCCTTCCATTGGCCTGCGCCTCATCAGCTGACACGGTGGAGCAGCTCCTCCCACAACCTGGCCATACACGGTTGTTTGGCGTTGCCCTCCTTCCACCAGTAGACTTGCCATCACGTGCTTTCGAAGCCGCTCAGCGCAAGTAGCGCAGGTCATAAAGCCTACAAACCTGTGCAAAGACCACAGTGCAAGGAAAGCGTAGACATAGCCAACGCCGCCCGGCAACAACAATCCCACTGTGATGATCCTCCAGCTTGTCGGCACTTCCCTTTGCAACACCACTTTCCTCTGCCGATGCCGTCTGCCTTGCACTTTCACCCCGGTCTTTCTCTTTCTGCCCCCGGGCACGGGGCAAGCACCGAGCAAAACCCCTGCGATGAAGCCAACCGCACAGCACGCGCACCACGCAGCCATTGCCATGGACAGGGAAGAAGCCTACTCGTGCCAAGTCCTATCGCCACTACAGGTACAATTGCAACCTGTTTTCCTACACTTTCTACTTCCGGACCTTGTGCAATACATGGTCGTGCAGTCTCTGCCTGTGCTCGACACTTCATGTGTCCAGCATCTACTCTGTCGCTACAGTTTGCATAGTCTTCTCTTCTTTGCCAACCTCTCTACGCCAATCTGTCGCAGAGCCACGGCTTCCGACCACCATCGCAGCAGCGATGCACTAGTCACCCGACACTTCTGCAACAGCCTTCTGTCTCTTCTCTGGCGTCCGAGGCACCAAGCTATGTTGATGGCCCTCGGCAAGGCATCGGTGCTGGCAGTCCTGGGCACACACCCGCAATGCAAGCCATTCATATATGTGACCCGGTGTCATAAAACGTTCCATCTAGCTTCGAACAACGCTGCCACCCACAGGGGCCCAACCGGAGCCAACCTAAAAGAAGCTGGTGGGGAACCTCAAGAGCAACCTTCCAAGAAGTTCCTAGCAGACATGAAGCGGGTGGGCAGCGCGGGTGGGGGGTGCAGGGGGGAGGGCGCAGCGCCTCCCTCCGCGAAGCGTTCACAGAAGCCGGGTCACCGGAAAGCTTCCCAGACGCAAGATAAAACCCGGCGTTCACAGAAGCCGGGGCACCGGAAAGCTTCCCAGACGCAAAAGAAAACCCGCTAGATAACATGTCCACAGCCTAACCGCCGCGTCAACCCAAACTCTACCAAGACGCACGATCAGATGTCTACATGTGAACGCTTCGCGGGGGGAGGCGCTGTTGAAAAAATAGGTTAGGGGGTTGAAAAAATAGGTTAGGGGGTTGAAAAAATTGGTTCGGGGGTTGAAAAAATTGGTTAGGGGGTTGAAAAAAAAGGCCGGGGGGTTGGAAAAATATGGTCTGGGGGGTTGGAAAAATAGGTTTTCAACGGGGGTTGGAAAAATAGGGCGGAGGGGTTGAAAAAATAGGGGGGGGTTGGAAAAATAGGGTGAGGGGGTTGAAAAAATAGGGAGCCCGGTTCTCTTGGGCCACGTATGTGGAAGG